ATATATATATACAAAAATGGTACAATTCTATTAGTAACAACGCAAAACTTTAAAGGAAAACTATGGACAAAAACAATACCTATCAAGTATACCCAATCTAGATATCCGAAAAGCGATCACAAAATTAAGAATTAGTTGTCATAAATTAAACATAGAAATGGGTCGATACAAGAAAATACCAAATGACCAAAGGTTCTGTCAATTTGGTCCAATCATTATTGAAAATGAGCACCACTTCATAATGGACTGTACACTATACAATGATAAGCGCTTATTGCTGTTCACCTTTCTTTCCCCTTGTTCAATTGATTTCAATTCGTTAGATCCTATAGATAAATGCAACTACATTCTCAGGGGAGATAACCAATACAGTGTTCAAATAGGAAAATACATTAAACAATGTTTCGATCTTAGAGAACACATGTACGAGAATAGTTAACCTTTATTGTTACATCATACATGTACTCTGTACGTAAGTTGACGTTATCCACACATGTATTTAGTTTTGTTAGATCTTTAGTTAAGTTGTAGAAGACCATACAAAAATCTCTGTACTTTTTTGTTGTGTCAAGAAAGAATCTCTATCATATAACACTTCCTTTCTGACATTAATAGCATCTTACGTAATTAAAGATAAGTTAAAAAATTCAATATTCATAATATATGCTAGTTTGATGACGTCATTGGTCAAAATCCAAGATGCCGGACCATATAATTAGCTCTGACGTCATATGACGTCATAAATACACCAAAGGTTAGAATTTAATTCTTTTAGTACACCATTCTCTGAAAATTTGGTGACCATACAATAAGTGCAAAAAAACATATAAAAACGGTAAAAAACATGTATAAAAACGCCAGTGTATTCATTTCGATCAAAAGCCGGCTGGGGTCCGCGAGAACTCCAAAAGAAAATCAGATATAAAAATTTTTAAGAATGGGGGGAACTGGGTTTTCTGCACTGTATTGAGTAACAACTTTGTGGGTGACAATTACCTGAAATTTCAGAAAAAAATCTTTAGAAACAAAAGAAAATATTACAGCATATATAGTGCTGGGGTCCGCGCGGACCTCAGGTTAATTATGGGGAATGGTGTATATGTCAATTAGGAGGTCGTTGCAGTCTGGTGATCCAAGATTAATTGTATAGAATAGAATGTTCAGGACCTACCAGCACTAAAGGAAACACGAGAACTTGCTGCTGTTAAATTGTTCAAACGTATGTTCACACCAAAACAACCACTCAATGATAACCGGATGACACGCCGTGTGCCGTGTGTGTCCTCCGATTTGCAAGATCAACGCAATTCAGGAGTACATGTATATTTGTGTTTATGTTATGTTGATTTAAATAAAGACAAAGTCAAACAACAACCTCATCGTTTCGCTTCATGCCTTCGCCAGAAAATATCAGTATTTAGGAGTGACGAATTAGAAATGTTTCGCATTGATTATAGAAATAAGAAACTCATTTTCAGATCATCATATTCACCACCGAAAAGAATTTAACTTAAGAAAAGAAGCTATTGTAGCAATTTTATATTGAATTATTGGAATGTGTTTCTGATTTGAAAAAGTTCTGTTCATTAATGTTGTTCCCCTTTAATTAAGCCGGCCGTTTTTTTTACCCTGGATAAAAACTATAGGGGAGTGCTTCCACTGTGACCTTTCCAGAAGTTTAAACATCGAATTGGCCCATACACTAATAAAAAACATAGACAGTCTATCCTTCAGAACAAAGGCAGCAGATTTGCATACTGGTCAGTTTTAAATCTTTACCGGTTTTCAGTGTATCATTTTCAAAAGCCAGAATGACCCAGGTACTTGTTACAAAGCCACAGAAGTAAAAAAAAAATTTGCAACTTTCAGTTTGGAAAATCAACCTTCATCAAATTCCAACAAAAGATGAGCCCTGTCAAAGTTTTATAAAATGACATATATGGTGCCCTTACTATATACAAGGATACACTTGCCGTATCAAAGTGTCTACCCGTACATGTATCATCCGTGCTTGCAACTTGATGTCTTCAAAACTGAATTGGCTTTTGCAGTTTTGTGTCTGACATATTGCTTGTAAATGTGATGCCTACTTGCAGTCAGATAAACCAGTGGGAACATCTGCATGTGGAACTGGTCATATAACTGCCAGCCAAGGTCTCAAGCTACAAGCCAGAACATGGCAAGCCAGAGCTGTCATTACTTGTATACTTTATATCCTGGGTTACTAATTAATATAACTTCTTATATATGTGTGTGTGTCTCATTTAAAAAATGTATTGAAGAGAGATTTTTACTTGGCAAGCTAAACTATCTTAGACAGGCCTCCCTCCACGTATACTGCAGGCTGCCAGGACAAGACTGAAATCTGGTTGTTTATTTTATCTAATTTATATTAGCAGGGTGGGGTCATTATATAGTATCACTGTCCTCTTTAACCAAATGTGTTATGTATATAGTTCCGAACAGTTACCACCATTAAACTGAAATATGTTCTCATTGATTTAAAACAAAATCACATTTAAAACATTCACATAATGACAATATCTGCCGATGATCTTCTCGTTCCTCATTACGTATGTAACAAGTTTAAAAGCAGATTTATAGAATTTCCCTTTTTAATGCAGATTAGGTACTTATTTTTCCCTTTTTAATGCAGATTAGGTACTGATTTTACGCACGCACGAAATATAGTCCCAAACACTGTCATAGTGCCATAATTGCCATTTTTTTACATAACGAACATTCTAGACCCAAACCAATATGGCAGAAAAAGGCACTCATCAGTTCATTACCAGGTTAGTTTGGTTTATTTCATTCTTCGTGGCGCCGACACCCCTATTCAGACTGTGCTGTTAACCGATTTTAGCAAGACCTTTTTTTTTAATTGATCATACATTACTAATGTAAAAACTGTTTGCTTCTAGTGTACGTACGTCTGTTAACCATGGATCAGTGATTTTCTCAGTGAACGTACACAAACAGCAGATTTATAGAATTTTCTCACTAATTATGAATTTTAGATCCTGATTTGCATAATTACAATTTAATTATATCAAGCCTCACTTAAGCTACCTACATACCAAAACTCATGACGATCTATCAAACGGTTGTTTAATTTATCCCCTATCAATGGTTTTCAAAGAAACTATCCTGCAGTTCCAGAACAAGCCAATAGGAGGCCAAAACTGACGTGAGTCCTTCCCGAGGACAAGACCTATCCTCTAAAATTATTGTCCCTTGCTTATCCAGATCGCGAGATATCAAAACCGGATGTTGCGCTGCAGTACCGGGGGAAGCCACTAGCGGGCCCAAAATCTAATCATTTTCAGGTTTCGCCACACCCTGCCGACATATTAAGTATGAAATGAATCCATCCAGCCGTTCTTGAGTTATTTTGTTGACTAACAGACAGACAGACAGACAAACTGACAAACGCAACTGAAAATATAAGCCCCATGACATGCCATGTAGGTAGTAATAGACAATACCTTTATAAACTATCCTTTCCCTCACCTCGAGATTTTCTTTAATGTTAAAGTGCTTGATCATACAGAAGAGGTATGCACTCTTCGGGGGAGGGGTGATAGTGGAGATGAATTGGAATAAGCACATAGATGTAATTACTACAAAAGCAAGGTCATGACTCTACTATTTATTTATTTATCTTAAAAGACGGGTGGTACCTTCAGTCTCTGAAAGACTGAATTCCAAGGTAGCCCAACAGTACATACACATTGGACAACATGGAATACAATAA